TTATCCAGCAGCCTCTTGGAGACATTTGCGCACTTCCACTTACAGTTTATCAGGTACTGGCTCTTTTGCCGTTGTTGTTCTTTCTCTCTGTGGACTACATGACGAGGAACATCCGGAAGCTGAAGCCTCTAACGCCGGAATATGCTGACGACGTAATGATGCCCCCCAGTGGCCTGCTCCAAAAAGAAATCACTACGACTCGCTAGCGCAGTTCGGCGACGAGGGGGGGGGGGGCATTTTGCACTTTTGCTACTTCCCATCGACGTGTCGACCTATCTAGACAGCCTCTTCTCGAGTTGACAGGTTTTACCATGATGGCTTGACGACCTTGCTCCAGCTTCACAAGAGTTCCCAGAGTGAGAGCTGTAAACCGGAACCAGGGAAGCAATGATAGTACAGAACGCCCCATCCCGTCGCCGAACTGCGCCCGACTCGCTCACTGCTGGAAGAGAAAGCCTGTCAGTACAGCATCAAGTATCAAATCCACAATATGGAATGCATGTGCACCACTATATTTACTTCGGCAATTACGGTGGACGGAACACATCTTCAGTACTACCAAGTTCTCGTACTTTGGTCCACGTTGCGTGAAACAAGTGGAGGGGCTATTGGCCTTGCCTACGATAAGAGAATGCTGATTTTCCTGAAGTCCAATATCTACGCTTCAGACGTGAATCCAGACGTTACCTGCAGAGCTGGAAACAAACAGTGGGCGAAATAAGACCTATGGTGTAAAGGATATGAGAACCGTGGATCCCGTGGCATACACGGTTCGACTGAATCCTAAATTAAATAGTCCGTGACATGGTCAAGATCCAGCCGAGTGGATGTTCAACGGAGACCTTCCGATGCTGTACTCACGTCCGCTGGCAATATCTTCACGGGGTCACGGGAAAGCCTCTGCGTAAAAGCCAACCAGACAACAGTTGAGCAAGAAAGCGAGGAGAAAGAGAGGAGGAAGAAAGTGTAGACGCTCTGTGTTTGCTTTGTGTGCCAACCAAGACAACGAAAAAAATAAAAAAAATGAGAAAGCTGGTAAAGAGGGGCTTCGAAGTTGAAGGGGATCAAACTAAAGTCGCTTTTCCTGAGAATCTGTGAAATAAATCTGGGGAATATAAGGTGCTCTGTGTGGGTAAAGGTATGTGGTTGAAGCACAATGGACCAACTTGTGCCAGTGTTGCCCAAAAAGTTGCAAGCCGCGTCCATACTTTGCGGTAGCGTCCACAAGCGCTACCAGCGTAGACTAGCGTATCGCGCATCCGGCAGCATGAGCGACTGGGAAAGCATAGATATCGCGTCTGCCAGCGTCTCAACTGAAAGTATAGATATCGATCTAGCGTCTGCCAGCGTCTACCAGCGTGCACCTAGCGTCTCCTAGCGTTCGCCAGCGTCTACCAGCGTCTCGAGTCCCTGGAAAGTATAGGTATCGATTCAGCGTCTGCCACCGTGCAAGCGTCTATCAGCGTTCGGGAGAGGAGAGCATGGCGCGATAGGAGGGTAGCCGCAGGCTGGTACCGTTCTATCGCGCCGTAGTCTTTACCAAAGGCACATGCTGGTAGACGCCAAATCGCTGACACTGCCAGACGCTCGAAACGCTAGCGGACGCTGACAGATGCTGGTGGGCTCTGCCAACGTAGCCTAAGGTGGTGGAGTTGAGGTGCAAGAATGCTCCACCGACTTCGTCGCAGGCAATAAGAGTAGCAGCATCAATATGGCTGATACCAAAACTTCGACACGGTAGTGTTCACAGGTCAGAGCTTGTTAAAACTATTTCAGAAGTCCCTCCGCGGTGAGTGACATATCGCTTGCTCAAGCGATCTGTCACTCACCGCAGAGGGTTTCTGCTAGTCTTCCCCCCTATGAGCAACATTCAATCGTGCTTTATGTCAATTGTAAAGGATAAGACCCCCATTTGAAGCGAACTGAATATTCATCTTGTTAAGCAATTACCTGACCTCCTTCTGTGCATACTGTACAGGTTCTAAGATCTCGTGACAACAGCTTCAAAGACGACAGTAACGAATATGCAGTAGACGGACATGCAGTGACAATAAGAATCCCCATGAATCAATATGAAATCACATGAAGAAATTCTCTGCTCGGAATACAAATTTCCAGGGAACGTTCCACTAACACTATATTCAACTACTGGCCTTCTCACGGAAACTACGACAAGGGATGAAAATCGTGTGATCATGTGGTGATGGGAAAAGCCGGATAGAGGAGGGGGCATAAAGGGCTTATGCAAAACTGGGCTAACTGTTTCAATTAACTTCTGTGCTTGGAAAAACCGGTTGCTCTACCCCCCCCCCGCCTCGGGAGACGTGCAACAGAATCGTCCGGAGCAGCGCGCGGCACGCGGTGCGGCGCGGCGAATGACTCAGCAGCTCACTTACTGCATTTGCTAGCCGATAGCTTTGCGATTGTAGCAACTGAGCGTACATCCGCAACATTTAGCAGGTTTCATCAATAATTGAAAATCTAATGATGTTTTTCTTGATAGTAACACACAATTGTTTGTCGGTTCCATAGACGTAACTTCAGGAAATAAGCAGTCTCCAGCGTCAATATTTACCGCCCCCTCCTGTGAGCCGCTATAAAACGTGACCCACCAGAGCAAGTGTTTACTCTAACTAGAAACTTAAATCGTATTCAACAAAAGATTCGATCCAGCGTGATATCAATCTTTAGCGTCCCTTCAATAGCCCTATTGAAACGACCAGACGCACGCTTCGTCTTCTCGCCGCAAGTACATCGCAGCGCCACGCCACGAGGGAACGATTTCCGTTTGCTAAACCCTCCACGGCCCCCCAGCCCTTGGAAGGTTCTGGGGTTGCCCTTCTATGTTTTTTGTTAGAAATCGTGAACACTTCTACGAACAAAACCCACAAAAAGGGGATTTTGTTCACGCAAGTTTAATAATCGCTTTTACTTCTCATCTTCCTAGTCAAAAACCGTGGCTTTGGTGATATCCTCCTAAAAAAAAAAAAAAATTCAAAAATTCTTTTGGAAAAACCACTTCCAACCCACCCTGCCTAAGCAGCGTTTTTTCGTTTCGGATGATGGATCGTATAAGCCTTGGGTAATATTCTTCTCAGCATCAGTAGGAATTCGATTTTAGAAGCGCTTTTTTTGCTTCTTTTTCTGTGGCAATGGCTCACTGAAGATTGTAACAATCCGACTTCACAGATATTCTTCCTGTATCGTGCAAGTAGGTTCGTGAACATGCGACTATATGTGATGCAACCTCCTTGAGAAATTCACTATTGCGCTGATGGAATATTAGGTTGCGGAAAAAGTTTGTCACTTTTTTTTCAAAATTCTTCCTTTTTGATATAAGCGTAAGACCAGCAATTCTTTACTTGCGGTCTTTCTTTTCTGAGGCAACCCTCAGGAAAACAAGCTCTTTTTTCTCCGATCAACCAATGTATTAACTGGACGAAATGGGGAGGGAGTAGGCAGCGAAACAAGCACACCAATCAGGCATGCCTCAAAGATGTGAGCCAGGGCGGTGCCGCGCCGGTGGTCGTCGGCAAGCGGTCGTGCTTTTCTCACGTCTTTTGTTGACACCGCGAACAGTAGTACCATCCTTAAACGAGCAAGCGTTCCACATTACAAAGTAAGGCTAGGTTCTCATAACCGTGCACGATGGTCAAGCAGGCAACGTCAGAGGCTATACCGCTTTTAAAAGTTGAAAAACAGCAAGCAAAACGCAGCGCGCTCAGGTTTTATAGGCCCAACTGGGCCCGGTAAGGGCCCATGCCGGGGCCCCTCCAGTGACCGTGTTTCGTTGTGAGATGCCATTGCCGCTCTTCTCCGGCCCTTCATTTTCGACTCTCTCCGGTTCTTATCCAGTGTTCTCGCGCTCTTTTGAAAAACCCAGCCAGATGATCTTGGACCACCTTACGCTCGTCCTGATCCCATGATTTCAATTGAAAAGAGGGTCTATGCGGGCGCTTTTTCGTGGTTTCCTTTTCTTATAAAGTCAAACAATACAGGCCATCTCTATTTTTGAACTGGATTAACCTTTGAATTGGTGGTTTCGCGAGGGGGGGGAACTGCTTTTAAACGCCACCGATAGGATTATCGCATGCCCAAATGAGGCGTCTGAACTTCAAACAAACGCAGGGCATTCCTTCAAAAACTGCATTCTCACCCTCCGACGACGATCCTCTCCATGCGCTGAAGGTCCATAGCTGCACAAGCGGCTGCTACTTCCAAAAGTGCACGGATGGAGTAGTCTTCTTGCGCCAGCCGCCCTATCCTCAATGTACCTCAGGAACATAGTCAGCTGCACAGGTGCCAACAAAATGTGAGACCGAGCAGACAAGTGGTGCGTTTAGCTACGGTTAGGCGTGAGGCTAGCACTTCGGCATCACTTCGGAGTATGGAGACGGCACTCTGGTACCATTACTTTCCAGCCCCGCTCCCGTACATTTTTGAGAGGAGGAAGTGGAACCCTACTGCAGCTTCTGACCCCCTGACGTCAAACATGGCAAGGACTAGGGGTTGAATGTTGTTTGTCGTTAATTTCCTAAGTCTTCGGTACTGCAACGTACGGACGCAGCCTCAATGAACTTCATCTAATGTCGCCATTTCCTAAACCTTGTACACAAGAATTCTTCCGCAATATTGCGAAGCACCAGATTACCCAGATTACTCGGTGTGGCGAGGTTTCCGCATGTCATAAATTACTCGCCTTTGAGCTCCTAAGATGTTGCACATATTGAGCCAGTAGTAACAGGCTCTCAATTCTATTACACTGAAGATTTATGATGAAAATGAGAAACGAACACACATTTTTATGATGACGATAACAGAAAGGTTAAATGGCAAAAGAGATTCGCAGCTGCGTGGACGACGAGAAAGCTAAACATCGGAAATCGAATGCAAAAATAAATTTGAGTCAATGTCGTGCGGGTTACTAGAAATGAACCGAACATGCGAATATCGAGCCATTAACAAGAAAAAAAGAAGAATGAAAAAGATGAAGGCAATTTCTAGGCGGAGTTGCGAATTTTGTTTTTTGGCCCATCTCCTGAACCATCGTTTGAGAACGGAGCAGAGTTGAGCATCGCAGCTGCTGTGAGATATTGGTGAAGATTGGCTTGAGGAATCTGGCCAGAAGGGGACACTGATTGGCCTAACATGTGATGGTGATGCTGAGCATTGGGATGCATTCCTGGACGATTACCCATACCATAAAGATCTAGAGATTGCATCAGTGTGGATAGGAATCCTGGATCGGCTAGTGTGCACCTGAAACATGAAACTGCATTACTGTAGTCAATGACTAAATTAGGCAGACCTTTTTTATCAAAAGATAACATTTTCATTGATTCTGTGAACTTACGAGAGAAGATTTTTGTAGTAATCGTAGTAGTTGCAGTTCACGTTGTTTGCTTGTACAGGATTAAGAGAGCCAAGCATCTGAGCCAGTGCTGCATACTGTTCTTCAATTTCGCTAAAGGAAAACTCACAGCGTGTATAAAATCTCAGATTAGAGACAGTCAAGAAAATGAGATTGGTCAGGCCATCAGCGCAACATAACCCCGATGCAGCCCCACCGGGGACTATGTTGCGCTGTGGGTTCCATCGGCAGGTCAGCAGTACTATTGCTCAAAGACTGTGTGCGATTATGGCCCACTAGACGATAATGATGCTTATCAGGAATGAAGCCGAAACTGGATGGCTGGTCTAAGACTAGCGTTGTGTCTAATCTGAACAAACTGCAAGGTTTTGGTTAAGTTGCAATTGTAGAAGGAGCAGCTGAGACCTATCATCAATGCAGAAATTCACGTGTCATGTTCTTTCCGCTGAGCCAGTAGCTTCGCCACAGTTGTTTGCAATCCGCACGCACATTTCGTGGCGTAAATGCTCGCATCAATTCAGTCTTTCGCGATTGAGCCATCGACGGCAACCTGTAACGCGCTTGAAACGCAGGTGACGCACTGCAAATTGCAAACACCGCTCCGGATCACAGAAGTGCACGCGGCTTGCGACAGGACACTGCTGAGAGCTAGGCATACTCCACCTAAACCTCTCTTCAGCTCTCTTAGCACATGCGCTCCCATCTAGCTTCTCATGTGTGGCTGCGTTCGCACACGGAAATTAAATGGCGCTAGCCGGTCGATTGCGGCTGCATGGCGACTACAGCTTTAGAGCGCTGTTGCGAGTGCAGCGCGTCGACCCGCATTACAGCACGCAGACACGCGTCATTGCGAAGTGCTGAGCTGCCTTCGTCTCAGTGGCCACTGATCGATCACATCACCTTGATTGGGCCCGCGTCACCTGCTTTCCCAGATGGAAGTAAAACGGAAAGAATCGCCAAAGAAGGCTGTGGATCGGCGCGCATTGATGCGCAAATACTCAGCTGTCCGCTGGATCTTCGCAGAGGACCCTTTGCTTGTCTCTTTACAAAAGGCGAATGGCTAGGGGAATTTCACTCGAGGCCAATGCCGACAAATTTCCCTCGTTTCTCGCCCACTGACTTTCTTGGCTTTCTGGCATCCCTAACTAAACCCCACTAACCAGAGTATCTCATCGCAGGGTTTGGGTTATACGCTGATGAATGCTTTTGAAACAAAGGCTCAGATTTATGAATTGCTTCAACATACTTCTTTTTTGCCGTGCTTAGGCCAGCTTCAGCAAACGAGATTAGCACACGAGCTTGCTCCGAATAGGTTGAGTTTTCTATCATGGATGGAAGATGAGCAGCTGATGCTGGACGAGGAGCCTCTGAAATGATTAACCTTCCCGAGAAAGTTGAGCTCATCGTAAACTAAAAACCTACGCAGAGCGACTTTTGTGGCAGAGGTAGGGCGATAAGTTCCGTTGATGATGGAGAGTTCAATGAGTTGCTTACGCTTCAGTTCATCCTTCCCCTCCGGCTGAAAATCTTGTATTTGTTCTCAATCTGTCTAAAAACACTAGAATGGCGAACGCACTGGAGGGTGCAGAAGCTGATTGATTGCTTCAACCGCATTCCTCATCTTCTGATGCGCCTTCTTCTCGTAGTCTTCGCACTGAATGAGCACATGAAGAGGCTCCGTGTCATTGCTGCGTTCACGCCTCGTACCGCTCTGAATGTGCTGACATCCAGGATTAGCCAATAAAGTTCTGAACAAGAACAGCGAACAGGAGGGAGACGAACTGACCATGCGACTAGACCCACGACCGCGCACCATAATCTTGCATCCAGTGTCTTCCTCGAGTTGCTTTGCTGTCATACCACGAGGGCCCAGTATACGACCGACGAAATTATACTGAAATTCATTTGTACAATACATGGACGTCGGACTGTCTTATATAAATGTTTGTAAGTTGTAAATAATTTAAGACAACAAAAACTGCTAGCAAACTAAGGCTTCTTTATTTACGAACTCACTCTAGGGTAACGATCAACAGGCACCAAAATCATCTCGGTGAGAACCACTTTTTCGCCACGTTCTTCTTCTGCAGCGGCATCGTCGACGTGGACTTGTGCTGACATGGCCGCGACAACTCGAGCGATCTCTATAAACAGTGATTGAGATAATTTCATGATATAGTCACGACATCGTGATAAAAGCTGATTTTCCGATGTGTTTCCAAAGTGTGACATGTTTAGGTTTCCGTGAACTGCGACTAAAACATCCCGATACAAATTCAAATCCTGTCCATTCTCAAGTCGCTTTAGCTGAACCGATAATTGAACCGACGTATGACGAATTCTCAGGAACACCTCTGGAACCTTATCGCACCGGAAATCTCGAGTGTGCAGCCAAACGACGGAAATCCTGATGCAGCCTCATTGGAGAGTATTTCTCAACCCTGTGCATGTCTTCACAACACCTTGGTCCTGTAGTGCCTCTCGATCGGTACTTCTAGCAATAAGTTCACGGCTTTCTAGTAGTCAGCAAAGTTTCAAAGAAAGAGAAATGTGGTGTTCATGAGATGGTTGGATGGGCTGGCGATGAAAGGAAGTTCAAAGCTGCCCTTTGTCGACTCTTCTTTCCATTGCGAGGAGGAAGCCCTACTCGGGGAGAGTGAGCTATAACGGAGCTGGAGTTTGCTCTATTTTCGGTTTATGCAGTTGCTTCCATTTCCAGCCTTCCACAGGGGAATCACAGGACAGTGCTTGACCATATTTCTTGTAGCCTGTCGTAAAGTCCTACACGACTTCATCGCATAGCCCGCCCTCACGTCCGTTACGCACTGCTACATGAGCAACTACCAGCCGGACCGGAGTGGTTAAAGGGCCGCCTTCACAGTCCGCACTGGGGTCCTGTCGCGCATTGCGGTACTCGCTGACTATTCGACGCAGTCTCCTATTTTTGGGCCTACAAGCTGCCTTTCTTCTGTTCGCACGACTCTGCTGGATCGCAGTCGACCGTATATCGCCCGTGTCCATCATCCACGAGCTCGAGGCTCGTACTTACTTCACTAACCCATCCAGACGCTGGCCCGTCTCCCTTCGTCATGCGCAGTTGCCACCCTGGGGGAACACCTATCTGGCGCAAGTCCCCTTTCGTCTCTTTCTGTCAGCACTCATGGATCGCCGCAGTTAGAGTGGCAATGAATCGAATCGCAGGCAACTCGCATTCCTATGGCAGAACGTGGACGAAGGTCTTAACGAGCGCATCTGACCAGGGTGGGGTGACCATGGCCCACAGTGGCGCAGGCAGCCAGCCCGTAGGTTTAGAGTTTATTAGGTATGCTTAATGTAGATTTTTCGCATAAATAACCTTTTGGATTTTCTGTCATTTCCTTTGCTTACACGTGCTGATGCACGTTTTATTTGTGATACTGATTTGACGATTTTTGTGATTGGTGTATAGTTGGGTGCGGCCAGTTAGGTATTCATGATGGTCCGTGGATCCCTTATGCTGCCCGCAGTAGTCGCGATATGAAAGGGAGCATACGTTCGCACCTCATGCTATGGAATTAGGCGGGACGCAGAGACCTGCCCTTCAGTACACGACAGGTGAGCGCAGAGACCCGTTAAAAGTAAGGGGATGAGGACCGCAGGCGTTGCCGCGTGGCACCAAGATTGTTACCAGGTGAGATCTCCTTTTAGGGCCCGACACGACGCCGAGCCCCCCTAGCAAACCACCGATGCGCAACACCCACACGGGAAAGTTTCTAGGATCTTTGCGGGCGTCGCGACATAGCCTTTTGTCATTTCTTTCCTCATCCTTCGTGGCTTCTGCAGATGGGTATGTGGGCTTTTAGATGAATGCGTGTACCGCATGTGTTTTGTTGCCGGTCGCTACTTATGTAGTCCTCCAGCATCGCGAAAGTAAAGACAGAAATGCGGCGAGCAGTGCGGTTTACAGCAACACTGCAGCAGCTTTCTGCAAGTCTACTTATACTTTGAGCGAGCTTGGTATGGTAGACGCATTCCACATTGTGTGTAGTAAAGTACGAGGCCATAGTCGCCGTGATACGTGCATCAGACGTGCCAAGTTTCGACTGTGAAATCGCAGACGCAAACGGCGCTTATTCCCGGTTTTGAACGAACAACTCTGACACAATCTTCGACAGTGCGCTTGGTCTCGACACGTCTGGTCCAATTCGTGGGCATTCATATATGAATGGGTCTATATTTTCCTGGCGGTGCTTAAAGGAACTGGCTGTGAAGATGATGCGAAATGCCGCTAGTCTCTCTTCTTGCGCTCTCTAACTAAGTAAGCACATTCTTGAATCTGCATGGTCCGCGTTGGAGGTTGAAGGGTTGAGGTCACGCATCACTATAATGTAGCCTCCTCCGCTGTGCACGAGCTCTTTTCATAAAAGTCGTCATGCCCTTCTTCATTGCCATCCGCTGTAGACTCGTAGATTTGTAGGTCCCTTTCCAAAAAAAAGCGGTTGACTTCAGCGCGTCGGTGCCCATGGGAAGTTGGGGAGACGGGTAAGAGCATGGTGAATTGCCGCTTCGTCGCGTGCGGCATGGGCGCGACGTTTCTTGATTTGCACTACCCTTTCGATTGGAGCATCGGAGTTCCATGTAGACAAGGACATGGTAGACACTTATGTCTATTTTTGGTCATACATTGTCTATTCTCGACCAATACCACCTAAAATCGTCGTCATTAGCGGGCGCGACGTCCACTGGCGCGGCGAATTACGATTCTCTTGCCACATACCTGGGAAGTTGCAGACAACTTATGCTTCTTAACAATAAGCCACCCTCATACTTCGCGACCAAGGATTCAGTCGCGCGATTCTCAAAACACGCGAGTGTAATCGAACGCGTTACACTACTCATTGCTGAGTCGCTGCGACTGCAAATTTAATCACATTCGGACGAGAACTTCTTTCTCTGTAGTAGTCCAAAGACAGCTGTGAAGCGCAACAATCGCAACCAGCAGCGACTCAATGCTTGTGACACTAAGAAACCCACACATACTCCAATAAATCTTGGGAGCATCTAGAAAAGCTGTTGTTCTACCTGTCGACGAGTGCATTAGAAACTCATTCGTGACACAAAACTGCTCAGGCCGACAACTCGGTACCTATTCTACTGAATTTCACCACTCATAATCTGAGTTGTCAAACTGATTCGTTTGCAATCGTAGGCGCGGAAATCACCTTCTTTGTCTCCTTTGGGAGGCTTTCAAAGACCTCTATAGTGTGGTCTTCTATTATATCTTTTTTGCATGAGGTGAGTGTTCACGAAATGAAGAAGTAGTGCAGAGGATGTGTCATCCGCTTCTGGAGGAACGAAATTCGGAAAGACAAAAAGATTTGTGAGGCAGCGTTCAGACTTCGCGACGGCGCGCTTCGGTCGCACGTTCGCCGCGATCGATGCGCATACTTTCGACTGCATCGATCGCGTCGAGCAACGACATATCTGATGCGTAAGAGAAGTTATCTAACGGATATATCCCCTGAGACAAAGTGCGACCGCAGGCCTTATAGACTGAGCTATCTCTGAAGGAGAGAAATGAGTAGCTCCTTGAATGAGTGGAGTCCATGGGATTGTACTAGCCGGCAGTACGGACTTCTAGACGCTTTACTCACGTCTTCCCTATGAATTAGATGGCTAAGGGACGGCAGGTGATTATGCCGTCAAAGATGCTGTTAACACTCTCCGCTCACCCATGAAATTCCTCTGAACCTAGCAAACACCCTCTGCGTCGCGTTCTCCCTGCTACAATGAAGACTCCCCGTTAGGGTCAATTCTGCCCAAGTGGAGGATAGAGCTTCTTCATCTTAACGTTGTCACGCTGCTAAAGGGTCCGTTTTTTGAATCGACAGTCACCACTTTGCTGATCCAGTCCATCTATTTTACGGAGATGGACCATTTTCATGTCCGCATTAATTGTGTCCTGCGAGCAATGTCTTTGTCTTTCATTCGATCGATGATCGTCGGCTTCAAATTGATATGCAGTGGCAACGATGTTACCATGATAGGTAACGTGATCATACAAGTGAAGTTGTCTTTCTTGCACCTTCTCGGTGTTGGTGCAACGGCCATCTGTCGCCGAAGGCTGCGTTTATACTTTGCGGCAGCGTAGCGTAGCGCTTCCAGCGTACGCCAGCGGCAGTGCCGGGGAGAGGATGCATATCGATCTAGCGTTCCCAGCGTCACCAGCGTACGCCAGCGTTTCTCCAGCGTTTCACCAGCGTTTTGCTGGCGTTTGCAGCGGCAGGGGAGTAGAGACTATGTGGCCGTAAGAGACGCGGAATCGATGTGTATTGT